TGTGCAGAGGATTAATATAAATTTCGTGGAAATTTTATTATGGTAGAATTTTATGACTTATCATGAACATACAAACGGCGAAAGAGTCAGTTATCGTGGATCTTCCTAATATTTGTCCATTATAGAAACTTTGATACCACTTTAAAAAACGCGAAATTATACAAAAAAAATTGTTTTTATGATGGAAAAACTAATGCTAGTCCAACAGTGAAGATTACTTACTACTGTTAGAATATAATTAATTGAGGCTCTTAATAAGATAAAAATTTGGTAATAAAAAAAAATTTCTTTTACAATTCAACTATAAATTATAATAGAAATCCTATTATAGGATAAATACAGGATTTGTATTCTTGTTATTAAGAAAACATGTCATTTGTAAAGATAAATTTTAGCACTTTAACTTTATTAAGTTTTCCCATATTTTTGATTTGATAAAAATGAAATAATGTACAAAAAGTACCATATTTTGCAACCCGGATATTTTACATGATCTAAATATATTGCCTAGTTTAATTTCTATTACTTATTTGCTCACACGTAATGTACTCAATGTGGGTATAATGAAGAAACTTCGAAATTTGTAAAGTATTGTTGGTCGCAAAATATGATAATAATATCCACACGAAAGTTCTACGGATTCTAGAAAATAATGACCTGTATATCAGTTGCTAGACTGGTTCCTTCAAAATCTCTAACTACACATCAGTTAAATTTTTTACAACTCTCAACCTAGCAACCTCTTGACAAACATTACATTCCATATTCCCCCTACTCATATATGCCTTCTTCTCAAATTCCTCTGGCCATGTCTTCATGGTCCGCCACTGATGATATTCCAAATATGCTGTCTCGTTTCCAACCAAATACTTCAAGTAATTTGCAAGACTCTCGACATTTGGAAAATCCTCAATAAAAATGGCGGATTTAGGATGTGGTAAGTATGAGCGAGTATTGGGTGCTCCCCATACAACAGGCACGACTCCTAAATTAAACGTGTCCCAAAGTTTTTCAGTAGAGTAATCTTGTACTTGGGAGTTTTCAATGGCTAGGTAAAATGGATATTTAGATATGACACAATTTTTCAAATTAGACCAAGAAAAATCCTTGCATTCCGAATCCCACGGAGTATTTTTGTAAACCGTGCCGTAAGACGCAACGGGAATGTGGGCTTGAAGAGTCGGAATCCAAGTTTTACGGAATTCTGTCAAGTGAGAAGCAACGAAGGAGATGAATGTTGAATTTGGGGAAAGGCTTGTTATGTTGAAGGGGGGTTTTTTTCGCCATTCGTTGGGGTCCATTTGAATGTAACTTGTGGGTACATCAGAAGTTTCCTTAAACGTTACAAAGATATCAAAAGGTCCCGGAATATAACTTATTTCCAAACTATATTCTATGAACTTCTGCCCTTCCCATCCTTTCTGTTTTGGTAGATTTGGACTGTTGACACAAAAGAGGGCATCGGCTGTTTTGAGCCCTCTAAATATCCAGTTTATCCAGTTATCTTTCTTCCACACACAAGGTATGTCACAGTTTGCTAAGGTTCCATCATACTTATATTTGAGCCTTTTCATGTCTTGTTCGGTATACCAGTCACCTTTTGTTATGTATATCCTTACTTCCTGGTTTTGATTTAAATTTCTTGTTAAGTAGTGCCTTCGTTTCCATCCTGTTAAGCTTTCAGGCTTGATAGTAAGCTCATCCAATGTGTAGTTTTTCTCCAACATTTCCACCGGATAATCTTTGATACGATGAGTTCTTATTATGAAG